TAGCTATCCTGCCATACTTGTCTTTTGGATGGATTTGAGAGTTAACAGTGTTACATGAGGAAAGCAAAACAGGGTTTGTTAAAAAAAAAAAAAAAAAAAAAAAAGCACAGTGTATAAGCCAGTATCCTAGGTTAGTCAGAGGTGAGAAGTAACATTAAAGCTAAGGGAGAATAAGGCAGGGTAGGAATGAAGGATTTCAAAATGAAGGCAAAGTGCATACAGAGCCAGTGTAGAGATGGGAGACACTGGAGAGATGCAAAGTGAGGAATGACATGGACAAAGGGATAAACTAAGGGGATTATTTCTTTCAGCAACAGTTCTGGTTGGCTATGAGCAGAGCAAGACTGTATCTGTCAAAGCCACCAGAAATGACATTGTTAGGAAGTGACAGGACCATAAAGAGAGTTTTAGCTTTGTGGTTCAATGGAGAATAATGTACCTTTCAGAAGTTCTGGAGTAACGTATTACCTGAAAGATTTAGTAATAGCCTAAATATTAGCCCCATTGGGTCTAATATTGGCAACATTCAGGCTACAGTTCTGGATGAGAGATGGGGAAAAACTCGTATTCATAGTGATGGCAAAATGAATAGAACAAAAATAATTAATAACATTGTTTTACATCTTTGACCTTAACATGGTGATTAGCCATACATGATGAGACATCAAGTTAGACAGTCAACAAGTTGTTGCATTTTGGGGAGTTAGTTTTCTGTATGTTAGTTTAATCTGTGTTGTCAGCTTGGAACAAAGGTGTTGAGCATCATTTCCCAACCCTTCATCTACTGAACTCTAAAAGCTCAGGGTCTGCTTCTAAGAGCTCTGCAAAAGATAAATAAGAACAGGAAGCCTATTTTCAGTAGGCTTAACTTCTATAAAAAAGGTTTCACAGATCATAAAGTTGAATACCGCTGCATAGAAGGAGAACAAAAAGGGACAGATTCTTATCAAATTGTTGGAGTAAGCTGAAGATCTTGTGAAGAAACAAAAAAACAGAAGGAAAAGCAGGAAAAGACTGTCACTGAAAACAACATCTGATACATTTTCTTCAAAATTTTGTGAGATAAAATACCATGTAAATTTAAAAAACCACTTTTTTTGGATTTTTTTTTAATTCATCTGCTCAAATTGATGGATGTGGCAAGATCAGTAATATATTGCTCTCTGATTGATGTACATTTCAGTTATAGTTACATATTTAGTAATTGTATCTCTTGTGTATTTATACCTGGAAGAGACAGATTATAAATATCCTATAACACATATACTCCACCCAGACTGCTTCTTATCCTACAAAACACAGCAAGCCTGTCAGTAGTACTTTCTATTATCTAAATGTCAACTGCCCTTCTGACCATTCCACTAGTATGCATGCCTTCACTGCAGATCAAACCTCGCAATGGGAAACAAACATTTCCCCAAAAATGAGGATTAAGAATGAAAAAATTAAAGACAGTGAGACTAAAAATGGTGAAAATTTCTCAGTGGTTGTAGAGTTCCTTTTCATGAAGTCATAATTCCTTATGACTTCTTTATGGATTCAGTATCGAGGCTGCTGGGCATACACAGGTTTATTACTTAGTAGAATAACTTGGTGGTGAAATGAATATTGTGATTAGGTGAAATTATGTGATATTGTGCTACAAAGACAAACTCCTCAGCGGTGGTTACACTGATTCTGATATTCCTGCATATTTGTTTATTTTGGTTGTGATTACTCAGTGAAAAATCAGGTCGGAACAGCTATTTGAATGTGATTGCTGTTTTGTATATAATACCATATCCAAAGATCCATGGGCATAATCATGAATGGGGTTTAACTGAATTGTATTAAAACAATCAAGGAATCAAAATAAAGTATTAAAATATTTTACATGTATGGAGTTACATGTATGGAGTATGAATGAAATAAAAGATTGTTGAAAATTATGAACACATGGAAGTTAGAAAAATCAAAGGTGGTGCCCACAGAGGGTGTGACACCCCTTGTTCCACAGGGGACAATGTACCCTGGGACAAAACCTAAGGTTGTGTCCAGTGAGCTGCAACATTCAAAGCAGATAAATATCCTTAGTTTGAGATGTCTTGGCAGAAAAGGTACAAAAAAAGCTTTGTGTCTCATCACTCGAAATCAGGACAGACCGTATTTCTAAGAAAGCTGTTTCATTTCAGCCATCCATTAAGCTTGCTACAGAAATGACTGGAGAAAACTCTGCGGTTTGGTACACATGCCAGACGGAAACTCACATTAATCAACTTTTCTGTAGGCTCATTCTCCACTCTGTATGCGTGTCATCTAGAAAGATGGGAAAGTTCAGCTGGGTACGGCTTTCACTTCCTAAACTGCAGAGGTAAACAAATGCAAATCTTTTCTTTTTTGTGTGCTTTCCTCACAGGGGAGTGTTACACTTGGTTATCAACTGCCATTTTTGCAGGAAGCAAAGCATGCACTTGCAATATTAATCAAGTAAGCTGTTCCACAAGAGCCAGTGGCTTACTTCTTGCACCAAAATGAATGAATTATGTTACAAAGGACATAGTATCATTGAAAGTGGTGAAAAATAACCTGACAGGATTAATAATTTCCCATGTGTTATGTTTTTAGGACCTTTCATAGAAGTTCTCACGGAACTGGGCTTGGGATGGTGATGATCTTAAGTTGGCTAGCCGCTTTTTATTGTACATGCCTGGAGCGACAGTTTTGATACAGGTAGGCGAAGGAGTGGTAAAAACTGAGCGGAGGGTGTGAAGGGAGGATGCTGAAATACTCCACGACTGAACTTTCAGCCTCCCCCACAGCATCTCCCCAGGGAGATACCCGAGGGGCGCAGGCAGGCGGGAGTGAGGCCTCCCAACGGGCAGGCGGCCGCTGCCCGAGGATCTTCCCCGGCCCACCTGCGAGCGCAGCTGCTGGGCGCCGCAGGGGGAGGGCGGGGGC